GTGTGGCCTGTCCACCGCGACATGACGTATTGCCCTCAGTCTGCTCTCCACCCAGCAGCTGGCTTTTGGTTTTTGGGGCTGTGTAGTGCTGTGCTCTGAGGGAGGGGACGTGTGCCTCACTGTGCATAGTATCCTAGGATTGCGGTTGATGTCAAGTGTGTACATACCTCATTCACACACGCGCGCTTTCCGAGCCCTCGCTTCGTTTGAAGTTTCCACTTTTCATTTCTTTGATTGCATCGAGTGAATGGGAACGCTCTAAGCTATGCTTGCTCAACCACTAGCAAAGGAAGCGAAATACAAATGACATGACGTACCTTCTATCACACGAAACGAATAACGTACAGCAGCAACATAATGTAACACGTAATGTAATGTCATGAAATGTCATGACATGCAATGGAACTGGAACAACACGATGTCAGAACCGCCACGATGCAATGCCTTCATGCACTCTTGCACTGCCTCAATTGTTCGCGAGTTGCTAGTTGGCGGGCCATTAGAAGACTAGACATCAATATCAGCGACTCCAGCTCCCTGTTGCTGGAAGCGCGGGCTCTTTCCGTGCACCGCCTGTAGCTGAAAGTCAATGCCACAGATGCCTTCATGTCAATTTGCAGTTGTGGACCCTGATCACAAAGACGACAGGTTCGCTTCCTCAGCAGGCACTGGTGGTGCTCATCGAGCGCTGTCGCTTCCCAACATCCACTTGCTCATACTCTGAAGCCGGCAACACAGGGAGATCTTTCATGTCGTAGTCGCCTGCATCCCAGTCGTGTGCATGCATTCTTCCACCATCGCTTTCTTGGTGTCCAACATCGTACACGGTTGCGTTCCATTGGTGAAGTCCTGCAACAAGCAAAGTGCACCGAATGGGAAACCACAGTCAAGGAGCGTGGGGTAAATGGGTGAGTGCACGAACACGCGAACAACACAGACAACACACATGTGGCATCACTCTTCATCAAGCACGTGGTGCGAAAAGTACACAAGCGCACGTACACAAGCGCGCGCGCACAGACAGACAGCCAGACAGACAGACAGACAGACAGACAGACTCACTCACTCACATACATGCACGTACGGTGAACCTCACCCCGCACGTCGCTCCCGTCACTCGTGGTTGAGTGCCGTCTGCCCGGTCGCCGCCCTCCAAGGCCAACACGCGTCTCGCGCATGTTCACATTGGGATAGACCGCCTCAACCACGTCGTAATCGCCCTCGCCAGAAGACCGCACGGTCACTGGCATGGGATTCTCTGCGTATGCTTGCGCGCCTTCCTTGCCAACGGCAACACGCCGCTTGCTTCGACAGCGCCGTCGCACAATCACCACAACAACAATGATGAGCATGACCACACCACCGACTGCGCCGCCCACGATCACTGCAATCGGCACAGCCGTTGGGGAGCCGGATGAATCTGTCTTGATGGTGATCGTTCGCGTTGTTGTTGTGGATGACGTTGGCAGCAGTCGCTTCGTTGATTGCCCTCTTGCTGTTGCTGCTGCAGTAGGACAAGTGATGTACGTGCGTGGAGATGTGAGCCAATATGAGCTAGGTGTGAGACACGCGAGGTCTGAGTGCACAAACAAACAAGGCACAGAACTTGCAAGCGGTTAACACACACACACAATCACATACACAAGAACACACAATCACATGCACACATCCTCCCTCCCTCCTCCTTGTTATCTCACATCACGATAAACCCACCGCAGTCGATGCCTGGTGGACAGTCACAGTATGGTCCTGTGGCCGTTGGGATGCACGTTCCTTCGGGAAAGCAGATGGTGGAGACGTTACAGGGGTTCAGCATGCACTGACGATCACTGGTTGGCGTCAGCTCCACAGACTCAAACTCCGTGTCATCGCATACCGTCGCCAGCTCACACACGCGGTTGGTGGTTGGTGTCGGGGGGACAATCGCATACTCGTCAAGGTTGCACGTGTGCAAGTCAGTGCATTCGCGATTGCTGGTTGGTGTTGGCGCAACGGTCTCGTATTGGCTCGCCGTGCACACGAGCGTTGTCACGCACGCACGGTCACTGGTGTTGGTCGGCGCCTGGGTTTCAAACTGCAGCGGGAACACGCACGCGTCGCTGATGTTGGCACACACGCGGTTGCTGCTGAGCGTGGCGTCTGTCACAATGTACTGCGTGCTCAGGTCACACACCGTTGTGTTGGTGCACACGCGATCGCTCGTGTTCGTTGGTGCCGTGGCCTCAAACTGCGTGCTCGCGCACGGGGCCGAGATGTTGCTGCACCGCCGGTCTGACACGAGCGTCGGCAGCACAGAGATGTACTCCAGCCCCGGTGTGCACACCGTCGTGTTGGCGCACATCCGATCAGAGAACTGCGTTGGGGCGCGCGTCTCGTACGAGTCGCAAAGGACGCACGTCGTGAGCGCGCGGCACACCGGGTTGTCCGTTGTCGTCGCGTTCACAGCCACATACTCGCCCGCCTCGTCATCGCACATCAGCTGCTCGCGGCAGTTGCGGCTCACCGTTGTCGTCGACACCCACACCCTCGGCCCGTAGTCGTTCAGCACGAGCTCAAACCCTTGGCCGAGGAACGTGAACGCCACCCGCTGCTCGCCGGCAATGCTCACGGGCGCATCGCTGTACGTGAGGGCGGCGGTTGCGCGGTCGGCGTTGGTTTCGCCAGCGGCATCAATGCTGATGAGCAGCGGCACACCCGTGAGCACGAGGTCGGGTGGCAGTTCAGACGACGCAGCGACGAAGAACGCATCGCGTGGTGGGTCGTGGGCCGCCTTGATGAACACGCCACGCTGGTTTGTGGCCGCGTCAGCAACAACCACCTCGCCATCCGTCACCACCAGCTGCGCGTTGTTGTGCAGCGTAACGTTGGGGCTGTCCAGGTACACAAACACGGCCGTGCGCTGCGGGTCAGAGGGCACCTGCTCCCTGCCGTCGCCACCGCTGATCGTCTGCACGTACACGGCGACAGAACACTCTGTCTGCTCGACGCTGACGGCGAGGGACGGGTCCGTGTCTGGCGCTGTCATGTTCACGCTCCGCACGAGGGCAAACAGACCAAAGTTGGCGCGCAAGAGGAAGTTGACGTCGACGGTGTTGATGATCGTGTTGCCGTCGGCATCCATGTCCGGCATTTGAAACGCCTGAACCGCGGACACAAACGCGCCATCTGGATCAAGCAGCCGCTCATTCAGGAACCGTTTCAGAAAAGTCACGTCACGCACGTCAAACAAGCAGTTGCCATCCGCATCACCAATCTGCCGCTGGTCCGCGCACACTGCGCAAGGCGGCGAGCCACACTCCGCGCGACGTGCACGGCTGGCTGTGGTGCTGCTGAACCCGAATGTGCGAACACCAGTAGTGCGGGTGGCGCTGGCGCTTTGATGACTACGACGACGCCGCGCAGGTGCGGTGATCTCGAGTGTGACGTCGCCTGCAACAAATGGGACATCGCTCGCCAACAGCGTGCCGTCCCCATCGGCAATCGTCACCGCTGTGCCGCTGACGGACGAGAATCCAGCACCTGCACCACCCTTGACCCGCAGCGTCACCTCAAACAGGGTCAGGGTGCCTGGCCCAACACCAGCCGTTGATCCACCAAACGAGATGCGACCGCTGCCGTCCAATCCGCCTGCAAACTCGCCGCCAGGCCAGTCGCTCCCTTCTGCCACATCCACAAACTCAAGCACAGCGTCATCAAAGGTGACCTGCAGGGAGATGGAGGCAAACGCCAGGGTGCTCGGCAGTCGCACGCGCACAGAGATCGCAACGGTGTCGCCGCCTGTCACGGGTGCGAGCGGCAGCTGCTGCGTGGCGCCCAAGTCCACATCGTAGTTTGTGGGCACCAAATTCACATAGAAGAGTGCCGTGGCGTTCACGTCAGCATTGTCTCCCGCATACACCGCCAGCGTCTCTTGTGTGCGCGAGTTGCCTGTCAGCGTCGCTGTTCCCGTTGCGCTGTCGATGACAACGGCATCTGTCGCCGTGGGCGTGGTGATATCGAACGTGATGAGGTTGGGCAGGGCGAGCGCGCCGCCATTTGGGAAGAGGTAAGTGGTCGTGAGCGTGAGCCCGTTCTCCATCACCACGCTCGCTCGCATCTGCTGCTTGGTGTTGACGGTTCCAGCGAGCGTTGTTGCCGGCAGCACAGGTGTGATGCTGGCCACACCCCAGGCGAGCGAGGAGACGGTGACGGCGGTGGTGTTGAAGAGGTCACGCAGCGTCGCCACACCACGGCCATCCCTTCGTCACCGGGCAGCTGCGGCGTTGGTGAGACGAGGCGCGTATTGCTGTTGTAGTTGAAGAATGCGGGCGTGGAAACCATCAGCTCTGCGTGGTCGTTCGCCGACACAACTTCCCTGGACGACAACACCGCACTGACATCGACCATCGCCTGCTGCCACGTGTTGGATGCGCCCAATCGCCGCATCTCCGCCACTTCTTCGTCCTCGGATCCAGGAAAGGCCGGGAAGGGCCGGAGCGCAACCCGCAGTCCAGTGGCGACCACAACCTCGACAGCCAATGACGCCGTCACGCCCGTGTGCTCAAACGACACCAGCAGCCGCGCCTGCCCTTCCGTGCTGCCATCCGCAACAGCCACACGCAAGCGCGTGCCATCGACCGTTGCGGTGATGTTTCCCTCTGTCGCGATGTTCGTGCGCGCGTCTGTTGTAAAGTCAATCTCCGTGCCATCGTCATACTGCAGGAAGACCGAAACCAGGGTTGATGACGCCAGGTTCGCCGGCAGCTGCGAGCTCACGTCTGTGGACGGCGCCATTGCTGCTGGAAGCCCTGCAACGCGCACACCGGTCACAGCGGGAAGGGCGTTCACCACGTCCACGGTACCGTGCACAGTCGTGGTGTCAGACACGTACCATGTGAGGCCCACGGCAACAGATCCACCGCCAAGCGTCGTCACGAAGGGGTAGCTGTTGCTGCTCGCATCGTTAATGTTGGAGGCAATGAGCGCTGGGCTGCCGGTGGTGACGGTGGTGTTGTGCAGTGCGGGGTCGAGGACTCGGGTGCTGCCGTCGCTGAAGATGGCGTGGACGACGACGGATGCGCTCTGCTGGTCTGCTGTCAGCACAGACGTGAAGGATGATGACACGCGGGTGTAGGTATCGGCACTTGATGTGGTGGTCGCAGCAGTGACAGATGCAACGACGGTGGCGGAAATGGCCACGGGTGTTGCTGGTTCGTTGTCTGTCGCTTCAACGTCTCGCGCACCGAGACACGAAGGTGTGCGCAGCGGATGCGAAATGCACAGCCTGAACGTGCCAGATGTGTTGGTTGTGATGGACAAAGGTGTGACAATCACATTCCCATCATCACTGCCACCGCCCACGTGTTGCCCCCGCAGCAACGGCCACACCTCTTCGGTCACATCCGTGCTGTTCAACCAATCATCAGCGCCACCACTTGTCATTGTTGTTGGGGATGACCAGTCTGCCTCAATCGTGTATCCGACATGCTGGTACAACGCCGTGCCACCAATACGCCGCAGCACCACGTCACTGCCGCTGCTGCTGCCCTGTACGTCGATAGCAATGCGAAACGCTGCTGGGTGCCACACCTTGTATCCGAGCGTCGTGTTGAGAGGCAGCGTGGCGTGCTGGACCACCACCTGTGCACTGTCGCTGCCGGCTGTCTCAGCACCAGTGAAGTGCACATACCCGCAGCTGGCATCAACTTGCAGCGCCTCTGGTGCACTTGAGGAGCACACGAGCGACGTCGACGGTGATAGTGTGGTGCCACTGCCGCTGGCGCTGTACGCGCTGACAGTCAACGGGTGCTGCAGTGCTGCGTTGTCTGGGTTGAGGGCGGCCGTGTTGAGCAGGACGTTGGAGAGCGGGGCGGTTGTGGGCGGTGCACCAGCCGTGCGCATCGATGGGAACGCGTGGAGTGCAACGACGTCGGCTTCATTATAGGTCGTCAGCGAGACAGTGGAGGTGCGGTGTGCAGTTGGGTTGGGGTTGCTGCTGGCGACAACCAGCGGCGCCGTGCCCGAGAGGACTGGCTGTCCGCTCGAATCAAACGCCTCCACAACACTAACGTTCAACACGACGTCACGCGCAGCCATTGCACCGACCAGCACATCTGCCGTGAACAGCGCACTCTCCTCAGCACCAGCACTACCACCACCACCACCCTGCTCGATGGCGCGAACGCCAAGCACAGCAACATCACGCGAGGGCAGCGACGATGCAGTCACCGTCCATCCACTGCCGCCCGTGACGGACTGGACCTGCAGAGTGTTGGCGTCTAGGGACGTGACACGCAGCTGCCACGAGCTGAGTGGTCGTGCACCGCCATGCGCAGAGACGGTGAGCGTGAAGGTCTTGGATCGTGGCAGTGGTCGCTGTGGGAACACGGCCAACACATCGCCAGTGAGGGGTTCGGGTCGCTCCACGCGCTGCGCTGTCTGCAACGTGGCTGCTACGTCTGCTGTTTCTTCTGCTGCTGCTGTCGCGTTTGGACCGGCGGTCAGCGTGATCTCGTGCCACGGCCGTGAAGTAGGAGGAAGGCAGCGTCAGTGTTGCTGTGCACGACGGCGTGGGTGACGATGAGGACGTGGTGCACATGGCTGTGACGGCCGTGAGCTGCTGTGCGTTGTCCTCAATGCGCACGTGGCACTCTGCATCTTGCATGGCGAGGCCGCGGCCATCTAGTGCAAACAGCAGCACCTTCACCGCCGCGTCATGGGGCAGCACGACTGCGGGCTGCGATGGCTGGCGGCTGTGGGAAAGGCCGGGCTCGCCCAGCAGCACAGCACGTACGCGCGTGGCTGTTGGTGCAGTTGTTGTGATGGCGGTGCCTGTGATGGAGGCTGTTGCCTGCTTGTCGCCGAGCGCTGAGTGGATGGACACGGGAGAATCACGCGCAGCGACTGTGAGCAGCGAGCGCGACGTGACTGTCGTGTTATCGCTGACGGAGGTTGTGTCTGAGGGTGAAGCTGCAACGAGGAGACCGGGTGGTGCTGCAGCTGCCATTCTGATGGGCAGGGTGATGGCTGGGTCGACGCACAGGGTGTCTGCGGTGCTGGTGCCGGCTGCGGCCACAACCCAGCCATCAGGGCACGTCGAGTGTGGCTGGCATGCGTCCTGGTTGATGGTGTCTGTGAACGTGTCGGGAGGGCACGCGTTGCACGTCACGTCTGTGTCGTTGTAGAAGGTGCCCGGCTCACAGGGCGGCAGCACCGTGATCTGGCGCGACGCCGAGATGGCCGGCACCCGCTCCACATACAGCCGAACAGTCACAGTGCCCGTGGGCGCTCGTCTGTTCAGCTGCCAACGTGCGTTATTGCCGAGCCGGGTGGCAGCAAGAACATGAGGGTATTGGTGTTGGGTGCAGTGTGATTGGAGTGAGGGTGTAGACAAGGGCTAGAAGGGCTTCCTGCAAACAAGGAAATCATATGGGCACCCTTGTGGGTGTTGTAGCCAAACTATCACAATCAAAGCAACTTCATTGGCTCAACGTGGGACGTTGTGACGTGACAACTTACCAAGATTCCAACGGCGGCAGAGTAAGGTGTTGACGCTGGTGATTCGTCGAACGTGAATCCATTTTGCACAGCTCCAATGATGTGTTCACCCGACATCGCATTGCTGACAGCGACGGCAACCTCCTCATCGGCAAAGTTGACGATGGTATAGGCCACGGTAATGTTGGTTCCTTGAACTGCACGACCAGTGGTGCCGACCGATCCTGCAAAACTATATCCGACGGCTGCAGGCGCAATAGCAAGCAGCGTCAGGCGATGATTATAACAAGAGGAGTTTAACTACACTTGCATGGAGGCAGCTGCCAGTGATAGCATCAAGTCATGCGTGAAGCTTCGTGATCCACACACCTGGAACGAAGAGGGGTCCGAGGAAGAAGTCGTCCGTTCCGCCGTCGACTTCTTTCACATAGATGTTGTGCGTGTACAGAAGTGGTTGAGGATAGTTGTTGGCGATTGAAGGGACCGTGTATGTAGCAGATCCAGAATTTGGCGTGCTTTCATCCCCAAATAATGAGTAGGGGTACGCAAGATCGCCCTCGGACGTGCGAAACACCAATTGAATCTTCACATCATTCCCATCAAAGTTCTGTCAAGGCATCAGAATACACGTGTTCAAGGTTTGAGGAGAGAGTGCTTTCGTCAGTGGTGGGTGAGAGGAGACAAATGCCAGGCATGAAACGAGAGAGAGAGAGAGATAGCGCGCTAGGCGAGCCGCACTGGTGACATGTAACAGCGTGAAGATACCACCGGGTGCATACCTGCCATTTGATAGTTACATCTTCGCCAGGGATCAAGAACGAGTACGCACGCGGACTTGTAACGGCGAATGGTGGAACTGCCAGCAGCAGAGAGTTGGAAGACCGGGACGAGGATGGTGAGAGGCAAGTCAAATGCTGTGCGGACGTGCGTGCACGTTACTGAAAGATGCAACACGTGACCTTTACTCTGCCACGCACGCACACACACGCACACACACACACATTCACACACGTCTTTGACGTCGATCCGACTCACATTCAGTGGAGAAGGTGTCGCCGCTGACAAAGGAGCTGGCCCTGGTGTTGTCTGGTGCAATCTGCAGCAGGATTTGCAAGTTGTCCTCTGCGATGTACGGGATATCCCAGTTGTAAGAGCCAGTGGTGGCTGGGCTGGCGAGGGTATGGTTGAGAACAACCTCGCCCGAGAGGAACCGTTGCACTGTACCGCCGTCTTGGTCCAAGCTCCCCAGGACAATGAAGATGTTTGGGAGGCCTGCTTCGACGTTCCACTCGATGGTGAGCGTCGATTCACCACCAATGAGCGTGCCGCTCGCGTCATAGGTCACGCACGGTGCGGGCGTGCATGGTGCAGCCGCAAAGCACGTCCGTGGCAGCGCACCACCGGACAGGAGCGCCAAAACGGCAAGAAGGACAGCAAGGACAGAGGTGGCCATTTTGATTGTTTTACATGGCTGGAGGATGTGGTTTGCGCTTTTCCCAAGCAAGACAACAAAACAAACAACCCACCACAGTTTTGCCACGCCGGCTTCTTCGCGTCTTCTGTGTGGTTGAAGGCCTATTACCCCCACACGCACACCAGAACGTGTGTGCCTGTGTATACTGACCTTCCTCTTCCTCTTCTGACAAGTGGTTCTGAGGCGCCACTGTTACCTTCCGTTCCGCCCTCGTTTCATCAACACAGCGACCGCACATCCCGAACATCCATCCACACATCATTTGTTTGTAACGACCAACACAAACAACTCACAAGACAAACAGCAGCACAGCACAAGGAGGCCGCACGCGCCTGCTCGCGCACTGCCAGAAAACACTCACCGGCGAGAAGCATCGCCGACCGTGTTGATGGCGCGCCCACTTGGCCGGGCACTCGCCCGCAGCCCCCGCCGCCGCCACCCATCACCGGCATGCACCGGGATGCTTGTGACCGCGGGGCTGCTGCTCGCATCCTTGTTACTCGGAGTGGCGGTGGCGCAGAACACACCGCCCACCTTCCAGGGCACCCCCTTTATTGAACTGTACATCTTCAACGTTCCCGAAACTAACGACCCAACATCAACCGTTGGCACCGTCACTGCAACAGACCCCGATGCGGGGCAGACCCTCCAGTACACGCTGTCTGGGAGTGGCTCTGCCGCGTTCAAAATCGACCGTAACACGGGTGTGGTCACGTCGCGCCTTCCGCTCGACGCAGACTTTGGCACCACCACCTACGACGACATCACCGTGTCTGTCTCAGATGGCGTGGACTCGACCACGGGCCGCATCCTCATCGCCATCACGGACGTCAACGACAACTCGCCCGTCTTCAACCAGGACCTGTACACGATGAAGGTGGCTGAGGATCTCGAGGCGGACGTGACGTTTGCGTCTGTGGAGGCGGTGGACGTCGACGTCTCGACGCAGAACAGCCGCGTGACGTACTTCATCATTGGCGGTGACCCGGATGGCATCTTCCAGATTGCCACCGTCAGCGGTGAGGGCAGGGTCTCTGTTGCCACGCAGCTTGACTACGAACGCAACAGGACCCACACGCTTGTGATTGAGGCACGGGATGGTGGGACGCCGACCCGCACAGGCAACACCACCCTCTTCATCGAAGTCACCGACGTCAACGACAACGTGCCAGTGTTCAGCCAGTCGCTGTACGAGGTCAACCTGCCCGAAACCCTCCGCGAGCGCCCCGCCCGCCGCCGCCGCGCCGTGGGCACTGTTCTGGTGACCATCTCCGCCACGGACGACGACACGGGCGACAACGCCGAGGTGCGTTACTCCATCACCGGCGGCAACGAGCTCGGCCTGTTTGCCCTCGACGAGGTCACTGGCGACTTCACCCTGGAGAAGCCCGTCGACTTTGAGGAGCTCACCAACCCCGTGCTCGACATTACTGTCGTGGCCACGGACCTTGGCGGCGCCGTGTCTGACCCGGCCACCATCCGCGTCACCGTGCAGGACCGCGACGACCTCCCCGTCTTTGAGTCGGACCAGCTGCCGGAGCTGACCATCTTCGCCGGCGACATTGGCCCCGTCGGCTTTGCCCCCGTCGTCGATGATAGCCGCAAGAACACGTTTGAGTGCCGCCTCACCACCCCTGGCACCCCATTCACCGTCGCCGCCGCCACGAGCGGCGCCACCGGCTGCAACATTGTTGCGCAGTCCTCCACCACGGAGCTCGGCGGGCAGATGTTCACCCTCATGCTGGAGATTGCCGACCAAGTCGGCGTGCTGTCGCGCACCCGCGTCGTCGTCAACGTGCTGCCCACCAACCGCGACCCGCCCGAGTTTGCCATGGACATCTTTGATGTCCTCCTCTCCGTGGCCACGCAGATTGACACCACCGTGGTGGACCTTGGCGTGACAGACCCCGATGGCGACGCCGTGTCCTGCAAGCTCCTCTCCTCCCCCAAGGGCCTCTTCCGCATCGACGACTGCCAGCTCGTGCTGGACTCGCGCCTGCCCACGGATGGCCCCACCTTCTTTGACTTGCTTGTGGAGGCGTCGGATGCGCCCACGCGCGGCAACCGCAACCTCACGTCCACGGCCCACGTGCAGATTACGCTCACGGGCGTGTGCCCGAGCGACGACGCGTCCTGCACATGCGCGGACGAGGGCGCCACGCCGCCCAACTGCACCCCAGACCTGTGCGAGGCCTTCCCTTGCGTCAACGATGGCGTGTGCTCGCAGGGCGTGAGCAACCAAGGCCTGCCCGAGCGCAAGTGCATGTGCGCCAACTTCTTTGGTGGTGACGACTGGCGAGGTGGACGCCGTGCGACGACACGCCCTGCATGACGG